CCCCTCATCCTCCACACACCACCTCGACCTTCGACCTTCGAACCTCGGACCCCAGTCTTCGACCCCCCTCCTCCCCCTCGATGGATGATCGCCCAGCCGCCCGCTGCGGCGCGACGGCCGAGGAAACCTCGGGCCTGTTGAACAACGGCGAGGTCCCCAACCTGTTCAACGCGGAGGACGCTCTGGGCGCCGAGCGCGCGGGGAGGGGTGGGCGGGCACGCGATGCCAGGGGGCAGCTGCGCCCCGCCGCCCACCTCTCCTGCCCTCCCGCCTCCCTCGCCTGCCTCTCACCGTCCTCCTCTGCCTCCTACTCCTCCTCCTCCTCCTCCTCCTCTTCCTCGTCCTCCTCCTCCTCCTCCTCCTCCTCCTTCTCCCCCTCCTCCTCCTCCTCCTCCTCCTCCCCCTCGTCCTCCTCCTCCTCCTCCTCCTTCTCCTCCCCCTCCTCCTCCTCCTCCTCCTCCTCCTCCTCCTCTTCTCCGTAGCCATTTTGGCTCAAGGCTCATGCTTTTGCGGGCTGGGCCCGTATTGGCTTCCACGGATACCGCTAGTCCGCGGCAGTGCCAGAGCGCTTGCGCTCGACAGCGCTCCGCCTACACCGAGGGGTTGGGCTCCCTCATCAGTTTTGACGCCACGGCCAGGCTGCCTGGCTACGGAACGGCCATCGCTGCTTTTGTCTCTCGTTCTGTGCGGGCATCATGGCGCCGCCGAAGGGTGCTGCGGCAAGAGACAGGGCAGCACGGGCCAAGCGATGGGTGTGCAGGCACTGCACACACGAGAAAACTGGCGAACCTTGGCACAATCATGCAGATGCTGCTTCTTGCTTCTTGTGTGGTGGGGCCAAAGGACGTGTCTATAAGTGCGATCTACCTTCTCCTACGCCCAGTGTTCGTGCGCCGCCTGCTGTTGGGGGCAATGCACGGGCGGCACTGGATGCTAAGGACAAGGAGTTGGCGGCCCTTCGGAAGCAGGTGCAGCAGCTGTCTCGGACCAAGCCGACTGAGAACGTGCAGCACACGCCTCCGCAGTCTGATGCCGCTACCACTAAGGACGACGCCCAGGGCAAGCAGCAGGAGCTGGAGGCGCTGGAGCAGGTTGTGGCATCCCTCGAGCTGGCGGCCAAAGTCAAGGGCGTGGCCCCGCAGACCGTCATCGGCTATGAGGAAGCTCAAACATCTCTTCGAAAGTTGCGGCAGGAGATCCACGATGCTAAGCCGTTGGGTGCGCAGGTGCATGGCATTGGCAATAAGACCCAGAAGGCAGATCAGCAGATTGCGAAGCTCAAGGCCACTATCGAGTCGGAGGAGCAGGCCATTGCTGAGAAGCAAGCCTTGGTGGTTGATCTCAAGCAGCAGTTGGAGACCAAAGAAAAGGCTCGGGTGCAGCTGCAGAGGGAGCAGATGGAGTTGCTGCGTACTCGTACACCTGAGCAGGTCACTCATGCTCCTGAAGACAGCGACCAGGCGGTGTTCGACACCTTCACGGCCAGTCTGGAGCAGCTGCAGAGCCTGGTTCAGTCCCTTGGTGGCGGTGCGCAGCTGGCTGCCAGTTGCGCCCAGTTCGTGGAGCCCTGGCTTGGGCAGGTTCGGAAGCAGCGAACCGAACAGCAAGAGCAGCTTCGCGCGCAACAGCAGCAGCCACAGCAGCAGCAGCGACCTCCTGAGCCGCCACAGCAGCAAGCTGAGCAGCCTGTTCGGCCCGAGCATGTTGACATGCCTGTACCTGAAGATATGGACCTGGAAGATCTTCGGACCTTTGTGGCTGATGATGGGCTGGAAGCCAGCGCTGATGAGACGGAGCTGCGTGCCCAGGCCAAGCGCCAGCTGGACTCGTGCCAGAAGCTGCTGGCCAAGAAGTTCAAGGTCGCTGCATAGGCCTGTGCTCCTGATTGCTACTATCGGCGCAATGGCGGCAGATTCCCATACCTTCGATTTCGGCGACGACTTTGAGCAGTTGTGTGCCGACCCTGGCTTCGACCAGGAGGACTTCTTCGGGCTCTCCGAGCAGGATACTAGAGCGTGTGGAGGACCTGCTGATGCAGGTGGTGGCAGCGAACGCCTACGTGCGGATCCTGGTGCGCTGCCAGATGCCTTTGTTCCTGCACATGCTGATGACGGAGGGCATCAGGCGTTAGATCGCAAATCCTGGGTTGCCTGTGGCAGCTCAGGTTCGCAGTCGCGCCTGCGCCCACCACCCCCCAGGGCGCCCCTTCCACAGGAGGCGGGGGACTCAGCGAGTGGGGGTGGGGGCGCAGGGTTTTGCTGGACTCCTCTTTCTCATGGCGAGGTCGCGGGCGGTGGCGCGACGTGGGGCAGCAGTCCAGGACACCTCCATCCAGCTCGGATGCCTGCGCCGCCTGACCCAGTGCAGGACTACCAGGACATGCGCCATAATTTACGCGACTGGGCGGCGCTCTGGTTTGACAGCCACGCACAGATTCCACGGGATGGACGCCCTTGGGTCGAGTGGTGCACTGCCTTTCTATCCGCCTTGATCGGCCGTGACGCCAACCTTCCTCTACGTCAGTTGCTCTTGACTTGGTTTCCTGGAAGGAGCCTTCAATATATATTTGATGAATTCTGTTCTTCGGCATGGCAGCAAACTGAGGGACGTCGAGAGGCCTGGTTCATGCGCCTCGCTGGTCGTGAGCCTGGCGCCGCTCAAAGGCTTGATCACAGACATTGGAGAGCTCTCGCCGAGGTCCGAGCGATGTTCCGTCGAGTGCTGGGCGACCAGGCCCCAAACGTCAGGAATTCACCACCTGCTCGACGACCTACTTCAGATGATGACCAAGCGGGCGACCCTATGGACTCGGTCATAGCGCAGCTGGTGGCGCTTTCTTTCAGGCCGACAGCTTCTACTTCAGCTACACCTACGCCTGCATCTACCAGTTCTTGGAGTGGGTCAGCGGCCATGCTGGTGGATATCACGACCGCTCCGACGGGTGTGACCAGCACTGGGATCTCGAAATATAGGATCCAGGCCACATGCCTTGCTGGAATCCAGCCCGAGTCGCCACGAGCCCCGTCAGAACGCGTCTGGGCAGGTTCTCCCTGGGTTCCTGGGCCCCTGCTTGCCTCAGGCTGACGCCGAGCGGCGGGAGGTTTCTTGGGGGGGGCCTTTCGGCCTCTTCGGCTCACGCCACCGCTGGCCCCCTTGTGCCTGTCGGGGGGTTGCAGAGGCCTGGCGGGTCCCAGGGCTCACATCCTACCTTAAGTGGCATAGGGTTGAGCCACGCGGAGCCCAATCTACCATCGGCTCCAACTGGGAAGGCCCGACGCCAGGCTGACGACAGAGCCAAGCGCAGCCTGCCCTCGCTCAAGGGTCAGGTTGTGACGGTCAACGTCAGCTCGCATGGCTCCCTCTTCGAGTACATGCCAGGCATTGGCGACGACGTGAAGGTGCTGCTAGTTCAAGAGCACCACTTGCTGCCCGCGCGCCTCCAGCAGGCGCAGTCTCAGGCTCGTGATATTGGTTGGCATGGGATATGGGCTGCTGCGACGCCGAGTACTGCCTCGGCGACGGGCTCGACCGCAGGTGTCGCGATTCTGGTTCGCACGGACGTGATGATCACCGCCCCTATCTTGGCCGAGAGAGAGGTCGTCACTGGAAGATGTTTGTTTGCGCATATTCACTGGGGTGTGCCTGGCGGTTTCACAGCTGGCAGCATCTCCCTCGACACGAAGGATGGCATGGGCCCAGTCAACACGGCCTACCTGTGGGAGACGGTCAAGGCACTCGCGAGGTTCAACAGCGAGGGGGTGGACTGGCTCATTGGTGGGGACTGGAATAACCAGCCTGCTGAGCTTTTCTCGTCCAGCTGGGCTACGGCAGCTTCGGCCATTCCCTTCTGCCCAAAGGTGCCGACGTGCAGGCAGGCCCATCCTGGGACTGTACTTGACTACTTTTTGGTTTCTGCAAACTTGGCAGCACGAGTAGACTCCCATGTTCGGGTGGATGAAGAGGCGACCTTATACCCTCATTGTCCAGTACATCTGCAAGTGCTTGGACAGGACTACCCGCTATGGAGGCTCGTGCCGGATTTGCCCAAGGAGCTACCACTACAGGCCCCTACTGGATGCTCGAGGTTCCCTTACTATTGGGAGGCTACCAGCTTCGAGGTGGCCGACGATGCTGAAGGGCTTGCTGCTTGTATGGACGACTTGATGATTGGGGTCGAAAGGGAGCTCACCAACCGCTACGACCATGTGGGGCCTGCTGCGCTGCGCTATTCAGGCCGAGCGGGGGCGACTTCCTTCACGTGGCGGAAGGTTGCCTGGCAGCCGCCCCTCAAGCGCACCTACAAGCGCCCTCAGACCTTGGCCTGGAAGGTGGTACTTCGATGGTTTATGCACATTCAGAAGGAGCGCGACACACTTCGTACGCTGGTCACCAGGCTTCAGATGGCCCGCGTTCTTTGTCATATTGACCCGCCCCAGTGCGCAGTCCTACTTCAGGCTTTCAGTGAAATTCGTTGGTTTCTTCGTAACATTATGCGCAGCCATGTGGTGCTCCACCAGATGCCTGAGAATGTGCAGGCCTTCCTGAACTCTGGGCTGCAGGTTTTGGTCGCACCTGGCTTCGAGGACCTCCTGCGCTCGGTCGGGAACGAGGCCACTCGGCTGCGCAAGGAGGACCAGCCTGAATCCTACCGAGCTTGGATGCAGTTCCAGCGTAAGGCCTTTCAGTCAGGGGCCTCTATTGCTCACCGCGTCACCAAGGCGCGGCCGCTGGAGCAGGTTGTCGCATATCAACGACGCCCTGCAGATGCTCAGCCACAGGCTCTGGCGAATCGGGATATGAGGACTTGAGGAAGGTGGTATTGACATTCCCTAGAAAGACCTCGACGGGGCCCTGTGCACTACCCCGCGCTTGCTGTGGCACCTGTCAGATGAGTCGCTCGAGATGCTGGGCAGTTTCTTTGCAAGGTGCGAGCAGCTGCTCGCATGGCCTGCAGATCGGCTCTGGTCGATGATGTGTCGTATTCCCAAGGCTGATGAGGGACGTCGCCTGATTGCGGTGGTCCACACTTTCCAGCGCATTTGGGGCAGGGCTCGACGTGGCATCTCTCGGCAGTGGGAGCAGCAGCATCGCGCGGACAATGTGTGGGGCAACAGGTCCCGCTACACCTCGTCGGACAGCGCTTTCAGCCGCAACCTGGACTCGGAGGTGGCTGTGCTGAGGGGCCAGTTCAGTGCGACGGTCCTAGAAGGCTTTCGACATGGTGCGGCCGTCGCAACTGTTTCGCGAGGGCTGCTTGCTTGGCTATCCGCCGAGGATGCTGTACATGTTGCTCAAGATGTACGCCCAGCCGAGGAGCCTCAAGGGGTACGGCACCTTCTCCGACATGGTGCAGGTGGACCAAGGCATTCTAGCTGGATGCACGCATGCCGTCTGTATGCTTGAATGCCTCACGTTACGTGCCATCCTACGCTTGCGTGACACCTACGCTGGAGTTGTGCCACGGGCTCTTGTTGATGAGGTGTCGGTCCAGTACGTTGGGCCTGATCCAAAGGGCCTACTTGCGCTTGATTTGGCTGTGCGAATATTTCAGGAGGACTCGAGAGTGCTTGGTTCTTGCTTTAATGACAAGAAGTCGGGACTGGTTGCTGCGACGGCTGCTTCTCGTCAGATCTTGCGAGGCTCTAAGTTTGCACATCGGCCGTGGATGCGTAACCTCGGCCACGAGACTTTCGGCATTCGCCCTATTCGGTTGCAAGAGAAGGCCCGCTTTCGTGATCTCCAGAAGCGACGGCATCGTCTCCATCTTTTTCGCCAAGTTGCTGGTCGTAAGAACTCAGTGATCTGGCGGGCAGGAGCACAACCAGCTGTGGCTCCTGGTGCGGGCGTTTCGGGCATGACCGGCTCAGCTCTTGTCACGGCCAGGTCAGTCGCTGCTACCATGGTGGGGGCACCGCCGAGAGCGCACAAGACGGCCTACTTGTACTGTCAGTGGCAGGTGCGCGACGATCCGATTTTTGATGCGACGACGGCGCTGCTGTGTCGGCTGCATTGCTTTATCTGGGATGCTCGTGTGCCCCTCAGTGCGCTTCGACATGCATGGTTGAGTTTGGCAGATCGGGTTAACGACAAAGGGCTCACCTGGGCGGCGGTTCGCGGCCCACTGAGTGCGGCCTGGCTCACACTTAACAGAATTGGCTGGACATTTCTTGGACCTCATCACTGGCGTAGCGACCAAGGTGAGGACTTTGATCTTCTGCGAGTGGCACCAGCCGACATGAAGGTATTTCTCGAAGAATCGATCAAGCGGTGGCAGGTGCAGCGGCTGGCTTATCACTTGCCTGTGCAGGAGGCGTCTCACGATGTCTGGGAACGAGCTCTTCGACTTGGGCTTCGTGACTTGAGGCAGGCGCCGCTTGGAGCGCTGAGGGCACTGTGGGCTGATCGGTGCCCCACTGCTGCCCGCCTTGCTGCCTGGGGAAAAGATGTGAAGGTGCACTGTGAAGCTTGTCAGTCAGATGATGGATCTTTCGGGCATGTTTGGCATGGATGTCCCAGCTTGTTGCAGCCCGATGAGAGCGAGGAGGCTTCTGGTGTTGAGGTTTTGTGTGAGCGACACGCGTCTCATCGGGATGCTCTGCGAGCTCTTGGACACCGCCCCCCGCTCGATCCTGAGTTTGACAGACTCTATTTTAGTTATGGTTTTCCGAGGCTCTCGATCCAGCTTCCATCCCCGCCTGAATCGTCGGTGGTCTGGGAGTGGGGTGACGTTGGGGGTGAGTGGGGGCCTGTTACTTTTGGGGATGGAAGCGCACAGCGCCCCGCCGTGCCTGAAGTTAGGCGCGCGGGGTGGGCCATAGTTCAGCTCAACGATGCGCTCCTCCCTGTCCGTGCGGTGTTTGGATCCCTGGAGGGTGCTGTCCAGACCGTGGGCAGAGCGGAGAGAACTGCGCTCCTGCACGCCATGAGGCGTAATCCCAGCTTGGAGGTTTTCGTTTCGGATTTGCTTTCCCTGGTTCAGGAAGGCTTGTCTTGGGACCCCGAATTGGCGTGCGGAATGAATCGATGCGCTGCCACTTGGAGGAGTGTCTTTGAGTTGGCGCAGCGTAGGCCTGCCCAGGACCCTCCCCCTCACTTCGTCTGGACCCCCGCTCACCTCTCTCTTGAGGAAGTCCTGGAGCGAAAGCTGGACCCGATAACCTGGATCGGGAATGCTTGGGCCGACCTGTTTGCCAAGCTTGCTTCGACAAGGGTCATGATAGCTAGGACGACGGCCGAGGCGGTCGCAGGCGAACTCAAGTTTCATCGTGCTACCATCGATTATATTTCCTGGGCTGCTGCCAGGCTCGCTCGACTCCGACGGTGGACCTCTCTGCCCCCGCCGTCGAGTGTCTGTCGACCCCAGCCTGCGCCGCAGCTCAGCTTGCATGGTCGCTCTTTTTTCCTCGACCCTGATTCAGGGGAGGTGAGACGTATCTCATGTTTTGTCGGGGCCTGGACCTGCAGCACCTTGGCGCATCTGTGTAACGGCCCCTCCAAGTTTTGCCGACCCTCGGCCCTTTCTGCCCTCAAGGGGCAAGAGTGGTTGCGTGTGCGGAATCGAGCGCGGCCTGTGAGGGCCGCGGCGGTGGTCGAAGCGGACCAGGCCCTTGTGGCTGAGGGTTTGCTGCCACCTCCTCCTCCCCCTGGAAACCCCTCGGGAAACGAGAGAGAGGCGGCCATCTGTGAGTTTGAGTCGAGAGGTCACACGATTGAGAAGTATGATCGTGTGATGATTTGCTCTATCTGTGCTGGCTTTGTTGTGCTCCCGCATGGTGTCCCTCGTGCTCTGATGGCTAAGTGTCAGGGCGCATCCAAGGTTCCTTCAACCAGGGACAAGCAGTTGCGGAAGCTATCCAAGGCCTCCAGAGGCCTGCACCCTTCTACGGGCGAGGTCCTCTCCTGTGCTCAGGGCCCCTCTCCCTCCTCGCCTATGTCCTCCCCTCAGGCGTCTCCCTCCACGTCATCCATGGTGGCCAGAGCCCCCCGACTTGTGGAGGCTGCCACTTCCGATTGTGGGGGGGCGGGGCGGGTGGAGCGGGCGGTGGAGCGGGCGGGGGTGGTCTCGGATGATTCAGACTAGTCTCCTGTTTCGCGTTTCTTGGCCTCGGCGTCGCCGTCGCCGTCTGCTGCCGCCGCTGGCGGCCGCTTTCCTGAACGCGATGGGCAGCGAGGACGCGTCAGGCGCGCCCTGCTTCTATCCGCGTGCCCTCTCTTGCTAGCCTAGGGTTGTTCGTTCCCGCGGACGACCTCCCAGTCGGCGCCCACCTCCTCCTCCTCCTCCTCTTCCTCCTCCTCCTCCTCCTCCTCCCTCCTCCCCTCCTCCTCCTCCTCCCCCCTCCCTCCCTCCCTCCCTCCCCCTCCTCCCTCCTCCTCCTCCCTCCCCTCCCCTCCCCTCCCCTCCCCTCCCTCTCCTCGCATCCCTCCCCTTTCCCCCCCTCATCTAGACGTCCAGCGTCTCGAAGATTTCGGGCCGGAGGCGTTCCGCCGTGTTAGGCCTCCCCGAGAAGCCACCCCCCCTCTCGAGGACAAGGCGCAGATCCTCGAGATGTGCACCAACAACGCCGCCTCCGCGGGCCGCCTCGGCACCGCGGAGGCCTCCGCGGGGCCCTCGCGGCTGTCGTCGTCGTCGTCGTCGTCGTCGTCGTCGTCGTCGTCGTCGTCGCCTTCGTCGTCATCGTCGTCGTCGTTGTCTCCGGTTTTCGTCGACTTCATCTTTTTCGTCGGCTTCGTTGTCTTCGTCTTCGTCGTCTTCGTGGTCGTGGTCGTCGTCGTCGTCCTCGTCGTCGTCGTCGTCGCCGTCGTCGTCATCGTCATCGTCTTCGTCGCCGTCGTCTTCGTCGGCGTTCGTCGTTTTCGTCGTTTTCGTCGTCGTCGTCTTTGTCGTCTTTTCCGTCTTCATCGTCTTCGTCTTCATCGTCTTCATTTTTGTCGTCGTCGTCTTCGTGGTCGTGGTTCTCGTCGTCGTCGTCGTTGTCGTCGCCGTCGTCATCGTCTTCGTCGTCGTCGTCGTCGTCGTTGTCTTCGGTTTTCGTCATTTTTGTCGTCTTGGTCGTCTTCGTCGACTTCGTCGTCTTTGCCGTCTTTGTCCTCTTTGCTGTCTTCATCGTCTTTGCCGTTTTCATCGTCATCGTCTTTGTCGTCTCCATCTTCCTTGTCGTTGTCGTGGCCGTAGTCGTAGCCGTGGTCGCCATTGTCGGGGGAGGAGGATCGAGGGAGGAGGGATCGGGGGAGGAGGTGTAGGGGAAGAGAGAGGAGGGAGTCGGGTGGATGAAGGGAGGAGGAGGAGGAGGAGGCGGAGGCGGAGGCGGAGGCGGAGGCGGAGGAGGAGGCGGAGGAGGAGGAGGAGGAGGAGGAGGAGGAGGAGGAGGAGGCGGAGGAGCTACTGAGCTGATGTATTGAGACGATGTCTCTTCCTCTCCACTGGGCTGGTAGGGGAGGGCCCGTCAAACGATGCCCGTCTCGGGCGGTGGTGGCGGCATCCACCGCCATGCCAGGACAGGCCCCCACCGTCAGGAAGAACGATCCCGAGAACTTAGTCGGTGTCCGACTCGGCGCCGCAAGAGGCCTCGACAAGGGGGGGCCAGCTGGGCCTCTTCTCGCCAGGGGGCGGTGACAGCCGAGCGGAGTACAGCAGCGGGGTTCCCGGGCTCAGGAACTGAGTTTGCTGTCTGCGACGGCAAGTTCAACGTGACCGCATCTTTGGGTCACTGCTCAGGAGCGAGCGGTGCCAAACTTGGCTGCAGATCCGCCCCGAGGCTCTCGCAGATGGGCCCCGGGGACACCTGCTGGTTGATGGCACGCGCGGCCTCCTCAGCAGCTCGTGGCGGGCCCCGTGTGTGACGGGTGCAAGCCTGGCCGAGTTCTCGAGGTTCTCTTGACCTTTGCCCGTGGGCTGGGAAAGCCTAGCAGTAGCCGCAGCTTGCGAAAAAGAGGGCAGGGGCCTCCAAGCTTGGCTTGACGACAGTGGGTGTGTGGCAGTGTGCCCACACTGGACGCCCAGAACCATCTGCCAGGAACTTCGCGCGCCCAAATCGCTCCTTCGTTGGCCTCCCAGGGGCGTCAGAACACGCTCACCAGGCCCTCTTGGGCTGCCTTGGGGCTGTCGTGTGCTCCTGGGGCCGTCTTGGGGCCGTCTTGCCGGCTTGGGGCAGGAAGAGCAGGCGTAGGTGAAGGAGGGTGGAGATGGAGATGGGAGGTCGAGGAGGACGTGCGGTGGTGGAGGAGGTGGAGGAGGGTAGGGAGGACGCGTGAGGTAGAGGAGGAGGAGGAGGAGGAGACTTGGAGGTGGAGGAGGACGTGCGAGGTGGAGGAGGGCGGAGGTGGCGGGGAGGAGGAGGGACCCTCAGGCACGGGGCGAGGCGGAGGGCCCCCGCCGGGCGGCGCCCGCTCTCGCCGCTGGTTTGCCGTGGCGCCCCGCGCGTGCCCCGGGAGGTGTTTGCGTTCTTCACGGAGCAGTGCATGAAGGACGCCGCCTTGCGATCGCGTCGCCCATGCGGTGCTCCTTGCCGGAGGACGAGGGTCGGCGGCGAGCGAGGGGGGGAAGCGAAAAGGAGAAGGCCCCCTCTCAGAAGGCGGCTGGACTTCTCAGAAGCCCTCGCGCCTTCTGATAAGCTTTTCTGTTTTCGGGGAAGGCTTAGACAACTTCTCAGAAGGCCCGGGGACTTCCGAGCCTTCTGAGAAGGCACGCCCCTTCTCACTTCCCCCCTCACCCGCCGCCTAGTGTCGCCCATGCGTGTTCGTGGCCGGAGGATGAGGAGGATGGGGAAGCGCTCTTACATTGTTCGGTTTTCATCGCGACGCAGCGCTCTGAGTCATGTTTTCCTTGATAGCGGTTTTGCGCCTATCGTGTTTCGCGTCCTTCGACTGTAGGCTAGCTTTTTGATTTTGATTCGGAGTGCATGCCAGTATTGGCAGTCCCCCCGTGTCAGCACATGTCATACGATCAGGTCATACATTAGCCTACTTGGCTGGCGCGCATAACTTGCAATGCGTGCGCTCAAGGCGTGTTTTCCCGAAGCGCGCGCAGTGCAGGAATAACATGTGCTTGCATGCGAGTCTCGGATTGCGCTTATGTTCTCGAGATCGAGGGATTTGGGTAGGGGGCAGGTCGTGGGCGACTGGGTGCCGGAAGGAAGGGGATGGGGATGGGGCACATGCGGTGGGCCGGGCGGGGTGGACGGAGCGAGCCCGAGGGGAAGAGAGCGACCCCTCGCCAGAGTGACCTGTGGTGCTGACCCCAAGGTCAAGTAGTGGCGAAGCGCCCTGGCTCGCCTATAGGCCTACCAAATAATGCTCTAATAATGTTTTGTGGTCTGCACGAAATGTTGTTAGAACATTTCTGCGTGGGACTGTTTTGTTTTAACACATCGGGTTTATGTTCTAAAAACATTGTTTTCGTTATCGGAGCATTCCTGGGTTTAAGAACATTTCTTGGTACACATGCCTATAGGAATGCCGGGACGGTCGGCCCCTGCTCAACATGGGGGTCGGGTGATCGATTTGTCTCTTGGAATTGGCCTGACCTCGCGTCGGCACCCTTATCGAGTGGTTGTCCGCCACAAACAAATAGACACAGACGCCCTCCACTGGATTGCTCCTGGGCCTCAGGGGAGGGTTGTGGTGTATAAGTCGCCATGGAGCGCCAGCAACTTTCTACACGGGGAGGTGCATGCAACATTCGCCGGAGGTTGTCAGTGTACGTATGTATGTCTTTCGTGGCGCAGGTTGCGCTCGCACCTAAGCGCGTCAGGTTTGGCGGCCCCCCCTAACAATCGACAGCAACGCATGCGCGGCGCACCCTATACTACGTGTTGACTTCCCGATTGGGGGGCCCGTCGACCGAACATCGCGTTTTCCGCCCCAGGACCAGTCCCGAATCCCAACCCAAATCTCAAATCGCCCTGCTTGAATATCGTAGGATATCTTTGAATACCTACGGATCAGTTTGAATAGCTTTGTCACTGTTTGGATCATTTTTGGAACCAATGAGTGTCTTTGCTGTTGCAAGTTGCCCAAAGATGTTCAATCATATTCTGGGCCCACTGTTGGGGGCGATATTGGCCATGCTGCCGGACCCGGTCAGATGTCATCGCGACGCGGCCCTGCGCTGCCAGACCTCATTGTGGTGGCCCCCTGCACCGTCTGCTTTTGCAGCGCCTTCGAAGTGCCATTCGGGGCTTTCGAACTTAATTGGCGGAATTCCGCGGTTGCCCGTTGGCGCAGCAAATCTTTCGAGGCGCGCCCCGCCGATCATTGATGCGGCGCGGCAGCACTGGCTTGCGCGGTTGCGTTGGGCCTCCACGGGAACCTTTCAACCGCACGTCAAAGGCCCACTACCTGACCCCCCCCTCCACTGGAGGGGGGGTCAGGTAGTAAGAGGTGGTGGACGAAGAGGGGAAGGAAGCACATTCCCCTAACAGTGCTTGCGCACAGGGGTTTCTATTTCTCTGTGAAGGAACTGGCCCTGAATGTCGGTTTGGCGGCTCCGTGCTCGCCGTCGTCCCGTCGCCGCCTCGTCGCCGCCCGTCGTCTGGGCCTGAGTGTCGGTCTGGAGGCTCCGTGCTCGCCCTCTTCGCCCCGTCTCCGCCTCGTCGACGCCCGTCGTCTGAATGTCCGTTTTGCGGCTCTGTGCTCGACGTCACCGCCCTGTCGCCGCCTCGTTGCCGCATAGATTGCACCGCGTATATTCTCTTTTCTAAGTGAACCAATAAGATCTACCCCGCCCCCCGGAATTAACGACTCTCTTTCTCGTCTTGCAATTTGCGTATGATTCTGCCCCATCGTCAATCCGAAGTATGAATTCATCATGCCATCTGAGGCAGGCCGGTATTGCCCCCTCTCATCCCGCGCAATAAATACAATGCGCGCGCTTTATCAAACATCATCAGTCCCCAAGAAGCAAATAAATGGGACGACATGCGCACGCGAGCGTCGTTTCGCAAGCATGCCGATTTTGTGTTGGAGATTCTTGGTTTTGTAAGGATTTCCAAGTCGAGTGTCCCGGAAACATATAGAAGGCAAAGCTTTGCAACACGATTTTCCAACAACAGAGAAACTTATGCCCGCGCTGTGACGAAATCTTTTTTACAACCGTCAGTTGCTCAACATTTCCATAACATGCTACCGAAAGTCAGGTGCCTCTCGCGCGCTCATGTCGAAATCGTTCAAACGTCCCTGCCCGCGTGTTGTCGCAAGAGTCCTTTGGAACATATGTGACGAAGTGCACACCCGCGCGTCCTCGCGCGTGCACACCGGAATCCTTCAACAACCGAAGGTTCCGTCAGGGTTTCAAAACCGAGTGTCCCGAAATCATATAAAACACATGTGTTAACAACGCCAGTTTTCAAAACAGAAACCGGCGCTTGCGCTTTGTGTGAATTCTCAAGAGGACCATGCGTTTGTCATCATTGTAAAGTACATTCTGTCCAAAGGGCCTCGCGCGCCGCATGTCGAAATCATTCGAACGCCCTTGCACGCGTGCTGGCCTCTGTCAAATTTTAGTATGCGGGCGACTCTCGCGCGTCGGCCGCGCGCGCATGTGGAACTCCGTCCAACATATTGATCACCGACGCGAGGACGCCGTCATCGTCGTCGGCGTGATCAGCATCGGCGCCGTCACTGGCCTTGCCGTCGTCGTTGTCATCATCGTCACCAGCATCGCTAATATCATCCTCGTCCCTCCGATCACCCCCGCCTCGTCCGCCGTTCTCCGCGACGGGGACGCCCAGAACCTGCACGTGGTGATCGCCCTCTCGCCGATCGGTGAAGCCTTCCGCCGGCGCGTCCGCATGTTCCCCCGGCCGCGCAGGGGGAGGGGGATTACGAGTATGAGAAGGAAAAGAAGGAGGAGGAAGAGGAGGAGGAGGAGGCGGAGGAGGAGGAGGAAGAGGAGGAAGAGGAGGAGGAGGCTGGCGAAGGGGTTTGGGAGAAGGGGAATCGAAAGGATGGAAAAGGGTGGGAGTAGGTGAGAAGGGATGACGAGGAGGGAGGGACGGGGTAAAGGAAATTGTGGATGCGGGGGCGATGGGAAGTTGGGGAAGATGGAGGCAAGGATGGGGAAGGGTCGGGGAGAGGCAGGAGCAGGATGGGAATGGGAGGAGGAGAAGGGGAGGACGAGGATGATGATGATGCTGATGATGATGATGATGATGATGATGATGATGATGATGATGATGATGATGATGATGACGACGACGACGACGACGACGACGACGACGACGACGACGACGACGACGACGACGACGACGACGACGGTGGTGGTGGTGGTGGTGGTGGTGATGATGATGATGATGATGACGATGAGGATGAGGAGGAGGAGGAGGAGGAGGAGGAGGAGGAGGGCCAGTATACATCCAAGGCTTTTCAAGGATGCGGTAACGGACCCTCCCTCCAAGCACCCTCTTTTCGGGCGCCTACAAGGATTCATGTTCAATCAGTCTAACGACCCGTTGGGAGTCATCCGTTTGAGGATCCTGAAGCATACCAAAACACCGTTCTCGGGACTCCAACGCCGCGAATCATCTTGAGTGTTGCGGCGTGACGATCTTGAATCGTGCCAGAACGCCGTTCCTGGGACTTCCATGCAGCGGATCGACGTGATTTTGCGCTCGACAATCCTGAATCGTTCCAAACGTTAACCATGCGAATCCGCGAAATGCTTGCAATGTTTTGATACGAATGTGCGCCGCGCTATGGCGAGAGCCACATTTTGAGAGAGCAACCGCCCCCAACCCGTGAACCTACTGCATTTGCTTATACGAGTGCGCGCGGCGCTGAGGCGAGAGCCACATTTTCAAGACGATCCGCCCTCCATCTGCGAAGCTGTTGCCAATCTCTAAGCTGCATCATCATACATAGTGAGGAAGTCTCAGGCGAAACGCCCAGCCCGCGTTTTCGACCGGCCTCGGGGTGCGACGGGGAGGAGTTATCTATAAGGGAAAGGAATGGAGGATGAGGGGGGAAGAACAGAGGCAAGCTGGGCGCGCTCGTGCCATGTCTGAGACCCGACCCTTCCTGCCCATACCTTGCGTCGTGCTGGATTCTTTTCTATCCGCCGGCTGGGTTGTCCTCGAGTGCCTTGCCTTGCGATTGTTGCCTGGCCTGCTTGTCGTCTTCTCTATCCAAGGCGCCTGCGGCTAATCACCGCTGCCCTTGCCTTTTGGAGAAGCCCATGCGGCCAAACGTTGTTGCGAGAGCCTGGCCGCGTTATCGGACCGCGTGTTTCCCCAGCCGCTGGAGGAACCTTACAGGGAACCCTTGGGAGAGGAAGCGAACGAGGGGCAGTGGGCGTTCATCGTGCTCGGGCTCCCCATCTGTGACACCTCTGGGAGCCGTCTTTGGCCCCCCAGGGGCCGTCTGGGGTGCCCCTTGGGCAGTCTTGTGGCCCTCTTAGGCTGTCTTGGGGCCCTCTGGGTGGCCTCTGGGGCAGTTTTAGGGCGATCTTGGGGGGTCTTTTGGGCCGCCTTGAAGCGTTGAAAAGGCAGAAAAGGCGAGAAGGCCCAAATCCTGCAAATCTGCGAAGAAGCATTGTTTGTTTCTTCTTGGGGCCCTCCTTTTGGGCGTCTTGGAAGCCTCTTCGGCCGTCTTGGGGTCATCCAACATGTGTTCGGGCGATTCTTCGGCGAATCGAGGCTCCCTGGGACCGTGCTGGGCGGGCACAGTCTCCCGAGGACCCGAAGGACCCCCCCTCCGGAGCTCACGGGGGCCAGCCCGGACCACAACAGAACAGCTTGGGATACGGTTGGTCCGGGCCCTTGGCATCCCTGCGTACTTGTAGTACCCGCTGGCTGTGTGAGGAAGGAGTAGCAGCAGCATGCGCGGGAGGAGCGGGAGGAGCAGGGGGGCCAGGGGAGAGCGAGGGAGGGGAAGGGGATGGGGGGCGGCAGCGACGAGGAACGACTCTGATCCAGAGAATGCGGCCCTCGCCGGGTTGATGGCGCGAGTCCCACCGCTGGGAGCAACATCCCGAGCATGAGATGCGGCCAACGCTGCAGCGGGAACACACGTCGTTTGGACCGTCACCACCCACCAAACCACCCCTGACCCAACCCGAAGGCTCAATTTGCCCTCCATTTCCAGTGGGAGGCTGGGGGGTTGGGGAACATTCATATTTCTGTGTGGAGAGGCATGCGGGAGGGGGGCGCCCCCGCACAAGACGGTATCGGGTGCGAGACGAGAGTAGCATTCGTATTGTATAGTTGTGTGCATCGGGGGGGGGCAGGGGGAGATAGTGGAGAGGAGGAGTAGGAGGAGGAGGAAACGGGAGAAGCGGAGGATGAGGAGGGAACGGGGAGCCGGAGGCTCAGGGGGGACAGTGAGGGTGTCTTCATGAGGAAGGGGAAGTAGGGATGGGAGGGAGGGGGATTGGAGGTAAGGAGGAGGAGGATGAGGAGGAGGGGGGGAATGAGGAGGAGGAGGAAAACACAGACCAGGATGAGGCGGCGCATGATGGGCCAGAAGAGGCGAGGGACAAGGATGAATTGGAAGATGCTTAGGGGATGAAGCTCCCCAGGTTCCCGTCCCTGGTCAACTGCACGACGACGAATTGGTTCCACGAGTGGCCAAATCAGGCGCGGTGGGGCCGTGGGTTCGCTGAGTGGCAGGGGCTCAATTTGGATAAGGTTGCAGCAGGAGCAGCATCAGCATCAGCAGCACCCAGAGTGACAGCGGTGCCAGTTGCAACGGCAGCATCAGCGTTGGCCAAAACAGCGGTACCGCAGAAGGTTCTCAGAAGGATGGGACAGCCAGTTGAGCAGACGAGGAAGGCTTGGGCACAGTCGGGCACTGTGTGACATACTCTGGGGCAGGGCGGACGCGAACGCGTGCTTGAGACGGCGCGCTCTGGCTCAGGCCAGCTCTCGGAGGCCATGCCTGTCAGCTCGGCGGGCGCCAGACGAGCGCCAGAACGGTGTGGGAGTCCTGCCTTGTCGCTGGTTGAAGGTTCTTGCAAGTGGCTTCTCTGTCCGTAATTCGATCGGGCCGATTTCAGTAAGCCCCAGGCATCCGACGTCGTGAAAAAGCACGAAGCCGTGAACAATCACGGGAGCTCCCGTGCCTTTGTTTTTACACGGCGTTCGATCGGAATTCATTTGTCCTCCCTCCTTCCACTCTACAATCACACAGTATGAATACTACTCTCCTCTCTTTCCCGATTCTGTCCTGAGAGTGCTCGCCCCCCCTGCGCATCCTTTTTTCACACATGATTTGCGCGAACTGGCTTCTCATTTGTTTTTTACCATCCGATTGTTTCCGTTTTTTCGAAAATAATGATCTCGCTGCAGTGTGGTCCTCATTTTCGGATCGGCGCTGTGACCGTCGTTCAGAATGGCGCTCATGCCCCCGCTTGGGCAACTTTGCTGGTTCCCACAAGTCTCGCAGGTCCAACAGGTCTCGCAGGGCTCGCAGGCTCCACAGGTCCCATAGGACCCACAGGACCCACAGGTGTCGCAGGTCGTCCCAGTCCCACAGGTCCCACCGATCTGACAGGTCCCAAAGGTCCCACAGGTGTCTCAGGTTTCGCATGCCCCACAGGTCCCACAGGTCCCACAGGTCCCACAGGTCCCACAAGGCCCGCAGGTCCCACGGGTCTCAGAGGTGTCGCATGTCTGACAGGTCCCACAGAGATCCCCCAGGTCCCACAGGTCCCGCAGATCCCGCCGGTGCCACGGGTCCCACAAAGTCCCGCAGGTCTCACAAGTCCCATTGTTCTCACTGGCAGCAGGTTCAGCAGGGCGCCCGGGTGTCGCAAGTCTGGCAGGCCCCCAGGCCGCACATGTTCCACTAGTTTCCCCTGCCCGACTGCGCACAACACGTTGGGGGTCTTTTGTTGAAGTCCAGGTCGGCTATGATACGCTGCCGCGGAAAGAGAAACACTCAGCGCAATGGGAATGAGTAGGAGTAGTAGTAGGAGTAGGAGTAGTCGGAGGAGGAGGGGGAGGAGGGGGAGGAGGAGGAGGAGGAGGACGAGAAGGAGGAGGAGGAAGAGGAGGGGGAGGGGAGAAGGTGGAGGAGGAGGGGAGGAGAGGAGAGGAGGAGGAGAGGAGGAGGAGGAGGAGGAGGAGGAGGAGGAGGAGGAGGAGGAGGAGGAGGAGGAGGAGGAGGAGGAGGAGGAGGAGGAGGAGGAGGAGGAGGAGGAGGAGGAGGAGGGGGAGGAGGAGGAGGAGGAGGAGGAGGAGGAGGAGAGGAGGAGGAGGAGGAGGAGGAGGAGGAGGAGGAGGAGGAGGAGGAGGGGAGGGGGAGGGGGAGGGGGAGGGGGAGGGGGGAGGGGGGGGAGGGGGAGGGGGAGGGGGGAGGGGGAGGAGGAGGAGGAGGAGGAGAGGAGGAGGGGAGGAGGAGGAGGAGGAGGAGGAGGAGGAGGAGGAGGAGGAGGAGGGAGGAGGAGGTAGGGAGGAGGAGGAGGCGGAGGGAGGAGGAGGTGGAGTTGGAGGAGGAGGAGGAAGAGGAGGAAGAAGGAGGTGGATGAGGAGGAGGCGAGCCCACATAGCTTGCCCTCCCGCCTCTGTCCGCCCTCCCTCGTCCCGCCTCTCCTCCTCCTCCTCCTCCTCCTCCTCCTCCTCCTCCTCCTCCTCTTGCGAGGGCCTTGCGGCCAGTGCCGCCGACCCTGAAGGCGGACCTCCCTCGGGACCCCTGCTGCTGGCGCCCCCCCTCCCGCGGGGAACTCGTGAACCGGGGGGCGGTATTCTGACCTGGGACCCCACCCGATTCTAAAATACACGCGAGAAAAACCCCAAGTAGCGGATGGTTTGAAATGGGATCGATAAAGAGATCGATACGGAGGTCGACCGGGAGTCCCGGGAACTCGGGAACCCGGGAGCCCACCGAAATCGGCCCAAAACCAATAACCAGGGGTCCGGGAACCCGGAATTGGGAATCAGGAAACCCAGCCGGCTACCAAAATCGGCGGGATTTTTCGCCAAATCTTTAAATTACGCCAGAGAAAACCCCAATCAGTGGATGGTTTTCTTTGTGGAGATCGACCGGGAACCCGGGAGCCCGGGAGACGAGTTGCCCTCGGCACCGCCGCGCGACGATTCCGATCCATGGTTCGTGGCCCAGAAGACGCAGGCAGAGTTTTGAATTGGCTTGCCTTAACTACTCCCGATCTCAGGCTTGGACCCCACAGGAGGCGCTGTTTGTCGTCCCAGGGCCTTGGCAGCAAGACGCATGTGTATTTGTGCGATATCTTGGCACACGAATGCTTCTCTGTCACGCAGGGGGCATTTCTTGACAGAAAGCGACGCCATTAAGTATATCTGGTTCATTGTACCTCACGAGGTGCCCCCCTGGACAAGGCCATCAACAACGCCGACGCTATTGGCGCGGCGTGGGTGCGCAAGTGGAAGACGGAGACAATCATTGGCGGGCGTGTGGGCGAAGTTTTTGGGGGATCCAGCGGCGAGGAGTATTTCGGCATTCGTTCGCTGCGGCAGTTCCTTCGCGCCGCGTAGCGATGACTTTTGAATTCAACGTTCCTGGGATTGTCAGGGCTTTGACGCTGCGACGGCGTTTATGCGTTGAGCGCGGCTCCAGGAGACCGAGGCGCGAGCCAAGGAGCTCGACCGCGAGTGCAGGCGCATCAGGACAGTTGGGCACCAACCTCCGGCCAACGCTCGCTGACGCTCGCGATTGTTGAAGCCTGTCCTTGTCGAGGACGCAGGGTCGTGCGTAGACTTGCTTCGTGTATTGTTTGATTTTCTTTTTGCGAGCGCCAGATTAACGAACCCCTGCGCGACGCTCACTTCCAATTCATGCCCGGTGACAGGAGATCTTCTATGTCTTGCATCATGTTTCTGCGCGTTGGTGACCCGTGGCCTGCTGGTGTTGGTGATGATGAGTTAGATTTTTCGGGTGCGCCAGCGAGTGTCGCGTGGGTTTGGCGCGCGGAAGCAACGCGCCTCGCCCTCCGCGTGGCGTGGGATAGTACATTGAACGACCAGTGCGAGACATGTCCGTCTACGCCAGGAGACCTGTCTGAGTCGCCTCAACGAGGGGCCTCGTGGGGAAGACAACCGAAGAGGCTGAACTGGGCGACAGGGACCATCATTCTTTCAGATCCTCGCTGCTCAGCGCATCACGGATGGCCAGGGCTACATCTCACATTCAACGCGGGAGTGTGCATTTACAGGCGGATATGATCAACCTGAAGGGAATTTGCAAAAAGCAGCTGAATGGAACTTTCAAGCAGGCTTTGGCGCATCAGGAGATGAATGGACTGCATTGCAGATATCGGAACATTTTGGCGGTTGGTTTAAATTGCCGACATCGGCCGTATTGCAAGCAACAGTTGTTGCCGTCAGGAGGCGCGCGCCGTTCTACTGGCTCGGGGTTGCCGCGCGCTTCGTCGCGAATCCCAGGGACGTCACCATGCTGATGAAGAGCAAACATTTCGGTGCGTAGCATGCCCTTTGATTTCCAGTTCGAGGAAGGCACGGCATGGTTCCTGGTGTACATTGTACCCAGAGACGAATACAGCAGTATCTTGTGGAATGAGGATTGCGGAATGCGGAATAAGGATTCCAGGATTCCAGGATTGCGGAGTGAGGATTTCTTCATGTCATCGCTGAAGTTCCCATCGCGCGAGGCTTATTTGAAGTACGCATGCGGCCTCAGCACATGCGTCCTGCGGGTGCTTGTACTGGCGCGGTGACGCTCTTCGAATTCATGTGTTTCTTTATGTCATGGTCCATCGACAAACAGCATGCAGTTCGTCGGAGGTGAGGGGGTGAGATCGATGTGTACAGGAGAGACCCCCTACCGGGAAATCGGTTTCGGTTTCGTGTTCGTGCGTGCCGTGCGTGCGAGCGAGGCGAGGCTGCGTGGGCGGGCGAGAAGAAAGGATCATCCGGCTGAGGCGCGGCCGGACTCTCCAGAGGCCGGTGCCTCGCGGTGTCCCGCCGGTGTCCCTCCTCCGGCTGAGGCGCGGCCGGGCCAAATGTTTCCTTTCTGGGGGCCGGTGCCGCGCGGTGTCCCGCGGGTGTCCCGACGGTGTGCCGTCGTTGTCCCGATGATGATGATGATGATGATGATGATGATGATGATGATGATGATGATGATGATGATGAGGATGATGATGATGATGATGATGATGATGTCGATGATGTTGATGATGGTGATGGTGGTGATGGTGGCGATGATGATGGTGTCCCGATGATGATGATGGTGATGATGTTGACGATGTTTGTGATGATGATGGTGATGATGATGGCCATGGTGGTGATGATGATAGTGTCCCGTTGATGATGATGTTGATGATCTTGATGTTGCTGGTGAGCATGGTGTCCCGATGATGATGATGATGATGGTGATCATGCTGGTGTTCATGATGATGAGATGATGACATGATGGTGTTGTTGATGATGATGAAGTTGATGATGATGGTTTTCTGATGATGATGATGGTGATGATGATGTTGGTGATGATGTTGATGATGGTGATGTTGCTGATGATTTTGGTGTCCCGATGATGATGATGTTGTTGATCATGATGGTGACGATGATGGTGTCCCGACGATGATGATGTTGATGATGATGATGCAGTGATGATGATGATGATGATTTTGATGATGGTGGTCCGATGATGATGATGATGATGATGATGCTGATGTTGATGATGATGATGATGATGGTGTCCCGATCGTGATGATGTTGGTCCCGATGATGTTGCTGATGATGATGCTGGTTTCCCGATGATGATGATGTTGATGATGTTGTGCATGATGATGATGAGATGATGGTGATGATGATGATGATGATGATGATGATGATGATGATGATGATGATGGTGGTGTTGCGATGCTGATGCTGGTGATGGTGTCCCGGTGATGATGTTGATCATGATGGTGACGATGATGGTGCCCCGATGATGGTGGTGATGATGATGATGTTGATGATGATGGTGATGAGGTGATGATGATGGTGTCCCGATGATAAAGATGATGATGATGATGATGATGTTGTTGTTGTTGTTGATGTTGATGATGATGATGATGATGATGTTCATGATGATGACGTTGATTGTGAGATCGATAGTGGGATCAATAGTGATATCGACTGTGAGAACGATAAACAGATCGATTGTGAGATCGATTTAATGAAATAGATCGGGTGAGATCGATTGTGAGATCGATCGATCGAACGAGACCGATAGTGAGATCGATAGTGAGGTCGATAGTGGGACCGATCGAGTGAGACGTTGGTTCCTCCCCCGCCGAACCTCCTTATCACCCGAAGGGTGGTCGTATAGGATATACTCGCATGTCGTGTAGACCTCGCATGTAGTGTAGACCAGCTTACAAGGTGGACCAGGAATCTCATGCATGTGCCGACTACATTGATCTTGGTGCACCAGTTCACCAAGAGATTGATCCCGCATGCATGCTTCTCGTACACATGGAGAACAGAAGAATCGAATTGAAAGAGAGAAGCATTCGACTTCGACGCTGAGTTCGACGTCCGGCTACATTCACGGACCCTTACCGATGTGATATTACATACGACATTTTTTCCCATGACGTGGGCGAGCCGTGAGAGCTGAATGATGGCATGTTTTCGTTGTTCGAGTTGCTTTCTTGCCACGGGAATGGGATAGATGGTGGTTGATGGTTGAAGTTCAAGATGATATCATGGATACCCAACGGTCCGTAGACATCGGGTTCCAGCTGGGGTATTTGAGGGTGAGACTTGCTTCTTGATATTGCCAGGACGTCGTCATGTCAGAGAAAAAGCAGTTTCTTTGACGGGGGAGAGATCAATAAGGAACACGGCTTCCCTTCCGGCTTCCCTTCGACTTAAGTGCGACGTTCCTCAATGCCTTTGTTCCCCAGTTTCTTGGGGATTGACGACGACGACCACCGACGACGACAGCGCCTTCCACACGCCGAAAGGTCGGCGGATTTCTCTTCCCTTTTCCCTTTTCTCTCGTCCCTCCTACCCCCATGCGCGTTCCCATGCGCGCGAGAGAGATGAGCAGGGGAAGGGCGAAGACGATGATGAGGACAATGAGGACAATGAGGAGGAGGATGGAGAGGAGGACAAGTTGTGGGGGAGAAGGATGGGGACGAAGAGGTGGCGGATGTGCACGGATAGTGATGGTGGAGGATATGCTGGTGGTGATGACGAAGCGGGGGATGATGATAATTGTGGTGATGATTGGGGTGGTGGTGGTGGCAGTCTTGACGATAATGGTCATGAGTCCGATTACGTTGGCGACCATGCTGATGATGGTGCTGATTATGATGCTTGTTGCGGTTGTGATGATTGATATGGTGGTGGGGGGTGCTCATGGTATTGCGGATCATTCGGATTACGATGCTGGCGTGTTTGCCGCTGACGACAAATGATTGCAGTGCGGATGATGATGATGGTGATGATGGTGGTGACGGTGGTTATTGTGATGGTTGTTCGGGTGATTAAGGTGCGAAGTGGTTGTGGCGGTTCGTGCTGCTGTTGTTGGTTGATGGTTCTGACCATAGCGGTGTGATAATGGTGGAGGAGGGAGGAGGAAGGAGGGAGTGGGGAGGAGAAGGGAGGAGGAGGAGGAGGAGGAGGAGGGAGGAGGCGAGGATGACGCTGATGACGACAGCGATAGGGCAGGAGGAATATCAACATGCCTCGTGCGCGGCGGGGGCGCCGCTGGCAGGCGCTGCAGAGCGTTGCGAACTATTTCTTGGGAGCGCTGGAGATGCCCGACGATGTCAAGAAAGGCCAGAGCCGCAAAGGAGGATGAGGAGGAGGAGGAGGAGAAGGCTTGAATTGCTGAGGTTCGGGTTGCGCGCAGATGGCTGCCCCAGATAGTCCTTGCTGGCCTTAGCAGGCCCCCCGAGTAGTTCGAGCCGGTCTCCGCGCCGGAGGCGGCGCTCCTGGGGCGCCTCACGCCTCGCAGTTGAGATGTCGAGACCGCCCCGGACTACTCGGGGAGCCCGTCGAGGCCAGCTGGGGCCATTCGGGATGCCTGCTGAGGCCAGCCGGGACGGGTTCCCTGCGGGGGCTGCCTGTGTCAAGCAGCGGCGAAGCGTCCTGGCTCGCCTGTGGGCCTGCCAAAGAATGTTCTGAGAACCTTTTGTGGTTTCCACGAAATGTTCGTAGAACATTTCTGGCTGGGACATTCTCGTTTTAACACAGCGGACACATGTTCTAAGAACATTCTTTTTGTTCTTAGAACATTGTTGGGTTCTAAGAGCATGTCGTGGTAGGCCTACAGGAATGTCGGGACGGTCGGTCCTTGTTCAACTTTGCGCAACCCGAAGCCTTATCAAGGCTCGAATCAAAAGTAAGCGGCGTAAATCGCACCAGCGAGTTTTACCACAAGGCGATACGCTTTCTCCGTGGCTGGGATTTCCCTTCCGCACTTTCCTCGGCACGGCCGCGCCGCCTTGCTCATCTCCTTCTCCCTTCTCGCCTCCGTTTTATTGCTTCTGTCCGATAGATCCTCTTCGAAACCTCTTCGAAATTTACAGGAGGAGGAGGAGAAGGAGGAGGAGGAGGAGGAGGAGGGGGAGGGGGGGGGGAGGGGAGGGGGAGGGGGAGGGGGGGAAGAGGGGGAGGAGGGGGAGGACCAGAGTAAGCCCAAGACGTACCAGCGATGCTGCAATACACCTTCCCGTCCTTTTCTCGAAGTTCCAGAAGCTTTTGTTCACTGAAGCAGGGCCCCCCCCTTAACGACCATGGCCTGCCATTCAGGCGAGAGCCCCGTTATGAACAGGAAGTGTATTGGATCCTTCTAGTTCGGAGTCTTGGATGAATGCTGAAGCGAGTGCCCCCCCCCAGTTTGAAGAGAGAGAGAGAGAGCCCCCAAATTGAATGTGGTCCGTGCTCCATCACTCTAAGTTCTGCAAAGTGTTATGTTGTTAAGACGAATGTGCGCGGCGCTAATGCGTAGGCTCTATTTGGGAAGCGGACTTGCGCTTCATCTATGTATTTGTTGCGAACTATACGCTTCATGACCATACACAATAAAGCCGCCTCAGGCAAAAAGAGCATGGCCCGTCTTGCCTACGTACCCCCGTCTTGGGGTCCCACAGGACGAAGCTATCTATTTGGACTATCAGCCAGTGTGGACACCAAACCGTGTGTTTCTAATCGTGCATCGTGTGCAATCTGTCCAGCTGCCTGCGGCACCCCCCGCCACCGTACCTGTGCAACAGCGCAGCAGGAAGGATACGGAGTGCAGGAACAGCGCAATTCCGACGAGTAGTCTGCATAGGGGCGGGTCGTGATCCTGACCGCATGTTCGTCCGTGCGGTAGGGAGGAGGAGGAGAAGGATAATAGAAGGAGAAGGACGAGGAGGATGAGGAGGAGAAGGAGGAGGAGGAGGAGGAATAGAAGGAGGAGAGGGAGAACATGAGGATGAGGAGGAGAAGGCTTCTTGGGGCCTTCTTGGGGCTTCCTGGGGGCCTCCTTGGAGCTTCCTGAGCGCTTCTCGGGGGCCTTTTGGGAGCCTTTTGTGGCCTCTTGGGGGCCTCTAGGGGGCTCTTGGTCCGTCTGACGCCTATCGCCTTAGATGTCTCTCCAGGCCGCTTTGGTGCCCTCTTGGAGCGGTTCATGGCCGTCTTGGAGCCCTCTTGGGTGCCGCTTGGGCGATCTTTAGGTCCTCTTGGATCGACTTTGGGCCCTCTTGGGTGCCTCCTGGGCTATCGTGGAGCTATATTAGAGGCCTCGTTTAGGCTGCTTGGGCCGTCTTGGGTGGTCGGACGCCCAAACAGGTGAGAACATCAAAACCTGTCAAAACCTATGGGACATCACCAGTATTGGCCTCCTCGGGCTCTCCCAGAGGTCCTCTTGGAGACCTCTTGGGCCGTCTTGGGTTGTTTTTGATCTTTCTTGAGGCTTTCTTGGGGGCCTCTTGAACTTTGGCCATCTTGGCGTCATCTTGGCTCCCTTGAACATCCTCCTGGAGGCCATGATGCTCCCAAGAAAGCCTCACGACAGATCAAGCGCCCCTCAAAGCGGCCCAAGTGGTCTCTAAGAGGCCCCCGAGGAGATAACGACTAGGCCCAAACCATTGATGTTCCGTAGTTTTTTGGCGGACTTTGAGGTTCTGGCATGTTTAGGTTTTCGACCAGCGGGCAGAGGTAGAGGAGGAGCAGGCAGAGGTAGAGGAGGAGGAAGAGGCGAAGGAGGAGGATGATGCGGCCTCTCCTCTACCTTCGCCTCCTCCTCCTCGACCTTTTCTGCCTCCGCCTTCCTCCTCGGCCTCCTCTGGCATGTTGGTGGCGATGATGACTGCGACGACGGCACGGCCAGTGACGGCGCCGATGCTGATCACGCCGACGACAATGTCGGCATCCCCGCGTCGGTGATGAAGGTTTTGGAAGGAGTTCGACATGCGCGCGCGGCCGACGCGCGAGAGTGGCCCGCATGGTTGTATTTGACACGAATCGTGTCCCCCGGTACGCGCGCACGGGCGCTCGACATGCGGCGCGAGAGGCCCGTTTGATGGTTATCTTAAGGATTCGCATGGGCGCGAGCGCATGCTCTTTGCGAGAACTCATGCAGCAACGCCATTTTTATATGTTGTCGGAGCACTCCACTTTGACATCCTCACGAAACCGCTGCTTTTTGAAGGATGTCTCACTGGCAGCGAATCTGTGGTCACTGCAGGCAGCCCTTTTTCTGCAGGCACTCTCTGGAAGGGGAGCAGCTATTCAGGGCATTGCCGTTCCCATCCGGAGGGCGCCTGTTTTTGTTCCGTGAGCTCTCGGGGGTGGACAGACCCCCAACAGTGACACGTCGATTAGTGAATTGTCCGTTTTCGGTTCTCGAGAGGGCGCTGTGGCCGTTATTTTCCAGGCTCGCGCCCGCCAGGTTTGGGCCTCAGGTCGTTTTCACTAAACCACGTTGTGCTAAAGGGGGTTCTGTCCATCCCCGAAGCTCGCTCTGCCGTCTGGGAGCTCAGCGTCGCCATCCCGTGGCCCACGTGGCCCAGCAGCGGACGCTTCGGCGGCGCGCGCGCAGGGAGGCCGGCGCGTGCGGCGCGGCAGGCAGGGCGCGGCCTCCGCGCGGGGAGGGCGCAGGCCGGGCGGCAGGAAGCAGCGGCAGTTCGGGAGCCTAGAGACGGGGCTCAATGCAAACGGGGGTCAGCCAGAGCGCCAGATCTTGCAGGATCCTGCAGGGCCAGGGTCGCATTGACCCGGGTTTGGGTGCAGGATCCTGCAGGATCCTGCAGGATCATTCGCATTGACCCGGGTTTGGGTGCAGGATCCCGCAGGATCTTGCAGGATTCTGCAGGACCTGACTGACCCGGGTCTGGATCGACCCGGGTCAGAAGATCCCCGAGGCAGCTTCTTGCACCGGCCGCGGCCCTTTCGTCTGCCGAGGACCCCCCTCAGGGCGGCGCCTCGCCCTCGCCCTCGCTCGCGCGTCGCTCCTCTCTCCCTCTCCTGGCGCAGGGTCGAGTCGGGCATGGCCCTCTACGGGAGGACCATCCAAACATGGCCAAGACAGACCATCGTCAGAGGAGGACGGTTTTCCGACCATTTTCGATCATTTCTGGATATCGTTGGCCTATCTGTTTGAAGGCTTCCTCCAACATCCGCCCGGAGGAGGACATGCCCGACCTCGGCGCAGGGGCGCGGACTGGCGGCCGGCGCCGCCGAGGCACGGAGGGGGGTCCCAGGAGCGGGCGCTGCGGCGGCGGCCGCAGGAGGGCGGGGGGCAGAGTGGCAGGAGGCCTCCGCGCGGGGAGGGCGCTGGCAGAGCTAGGGAGCCAGATGCGAACCCTACCCCTACCCCCTACGATTTCTGAGGGGGTAGGGGTAGGGTTCGCATGTGCCCCCCTAAGAGCGGCAGCAGGGCGGCACGTCCCTCTACAGGAGGAATAGTCAAAAGTAGTCTAGGCATGGGATGCGGGCGTTTTTTGTTTGTTTTCTTTGTCTTGTTGTTGTGTGCAGTATATATGTATATAGATAGAACTGCTTTGAATATTTTGGGAGTACGTTTTGAGTATTTTTCATTTTTCGTCCAAAATCCGCCTGTAGGAGGACATGCCCGACCTAGCGTTAGCCTCCGGCATCGATCGAGGCCTCGGTCCAAGGAGTGCCCCAGTCAAGGCGGTGCTGAGGTGGGGGTGGGAGGGTGGCGGGCAGTCTGGCAGGAGAAGCGCGGCCTCCGCGCAGGGTGTCGCAGGGAAGGCTGCAGGAGAGTGCCAGCTTCTTGCATCGAGCGAGGCCCCCGTCTACGGCCAGCACTTGGGTCAACTTGGGTCAAGACCCGTCTGTTGACCTGGGTCTGGGAGCCACGTGGGGCCGATGCCCCCTTTACGCCCTCCGCCGACCCGGGTTTGGGAGCTACCATGAAGTCGGGCCTGCCCCTCTACAGGAGGAACGCTCAAACATAACCAAAACATAGCCTGGGGACGATGTTCCAGTATTTTCGAGTCTGTTTAGAGTATGCTTTGACTATTTTTTGCTTTCGTCCCAAGTCCCCCTGTGGGAGGACATGCCCGACCTGCTGGCAGCTACCGAGCGGCTGGCTGGGCTCTGCGGCAGGGCCTGGGCCGACCCGGGTCTGCGCCGACCCGCGCGCTGGTGCGTCCCCGGGCCGTCGGCCGCTGCCGCTCGGGGTTCCTTCGGCCCCTCCAGAGCGGCGGCGGGGGCGGCAGAGGCTGCGTCGACGTCTGCGTGGCAATGCAGAAGTCGGTCTTCGAGCTGTCGGAGAAGTTCGTCAAGGAGGCCGCGCTCCTGGAGGAGGAGGAAGGGGGTGAGGATGGGCGGAGGCGGAGGAGGGGGAGAACGAGGAGGCGGCCGATGAGGAAGGGCAGGGGGAGGAGGAGGAGGAGGAGGAGGAGGAGGAGGAGGAGGCGGAGGAGGAGGAGGAGGCGGAGGAGGAGGAGGAGACAGAGGAAGAGGTGGAGGAGGCGGAGGAAATGGAGGAGGAGGAGGATGAGGAGGAGGATGACCAGGGACCAGGACCCAGCCGCGCCAAAAACGCCCCGGCAGGGAGGAGCCGGGCAAGCAGTTCGGCAGCCTTCCTCTCATGGTTGGGGTGCTGGCCGTTGGCGGCACGATGGACATCAGCCTTTGTGAGAGGGCAAGTCAAGAGGCGCAGGCAGCGCTCGCTTAGATTGAGTGCACGGAGTCCGTCGATGCTCTGACCACAGGCCAGGCAAAGCAGGACTCCCCCATAGGGGTAGCCCGTAAGTATTCAAGTGTGGACCTCGGGACTCGACAGTACCTGCCGAAGCCGAGGGTTGTGACCTGAGCAAGGGCCGCCCCGTCGGCAGTGCGTTGGGGTCCATGTCGTAGAGAAGGGCAGTCCTGGCGTGGAGGCATGAGCCACCTCAGTCTCAGCACGAGACCTACGCATGCACTTCGTACACATTCAGGAATGACGTACGTATGTAGGTCCACTCGGAGTCCTCCTGGGCTGGCAGCTGCGGTGCAGGAGGGGGCTCTAGGAGGTCAGCCCCTGAGGGGGCACTGCCCGTTGGAACGGCGCTGGCCGTTGGTGGCGAGGAGGATGCGCTCGGCGGGCCTCCGTCCCCACTTCGCGGTCCGCTCGCCGATCGAGGCTGCGCTGTGTATTGACGTTGCCTGCCACTGGGCAGGGATCCGGGGCCTCCCGACTTCGGGGACGCTCCACACCCCGCCCAGAGCTGGGCGGAGGGCTCAGCCAGCTCACGGACACCCGTCTTCATCTCTGAGCCCGCGGCCCCAGCGAGGGCAGGCGAGAGAGGGGGAGAGAGAGAGAGAGAGAGAGAGAGAGAGAGAGAGAGAGGGAGAGGCAGAGGGCATCCGCAACGCGTCGCAAGGGCTGGCAAGCGGGCTCTCACGAAGCCCTTCGGCGACCACACCTGCCGGAGAGGGCCCGCCCACGGCCAGCGCAGGCCCGGCCGGGACGCCGCCCCCGCCTCGGCCCGAGGCAGAGGCGGCGCCCCGAGGCTCTCGAGCGGCCGGGGCGCCGCCCGAGGCCCTCGGGCGGCCCCGCGGGGCTTCGGAGTTCCCGCTGCAACCTCGCGGCGGCCGCTCCGGATCTCCCTGGGTCGGGCCGGGGGGAGCCGCGGCTGTTGGTTTGGGACAACATTTGCTGTTGGGCACTGTACGCATTCGTTCCGTACCCATTTCGGGCGTCCAAATCTTCGGCCGATTGAGGGACCTTTGCCACTGTGGCCGCCGCAGCTGCTGCCGCCCGCTACTCTGGAGCGGGTGGTCTGGCGGCACCCGCAGGGGCTTGAGGTTGAAGGTAGCCCTTCCGAACATACTGGCGCTGCTACACCAACGAATCGATGCATACAGAGATCCTCCGAACGTTCGAAGCCATCCGTGCTCGTCCTACCAGGGACCACGAGGAGGGCGAGATGGAGGACGAGGTGCACGATGAGGAGGACGAGGCAGGGGAGGAGGACGACGAACAGAGTAGTGTCCCATTATTCTGCGCTCGCTGTTCGGACAGGCAGGTAGGGGAGGAGAAGGAGGAGGATGAGAAGGAGGAGGAGGAGGAGGAGGAGGAGGAGGGAGGACGAGGAGGATAAGGAAGGTTGGGATAATGACTGCGAGAGGACGAGGAGAAGGACACGGAAGAGTGTTCTAGGTTCTTAGGTTGGCCTCGCGCCCGCCCACGAAGTGGCACGAGGTCCAGGCTGGCGCGGAGGGGGTGGCCGAGAGGGAGGGCGAGGAGGAGGACGAGAAGCAGGATGCGGGGGGAAGGAGGAGGATGGCGAGGAGGGCGAGGATGAGGAGGAGGAGGAGGAGGACGAGGAGCGGGTTGCACATGGGGAGGTGGAAGGGGAGTAGGGGGAGAAGAGGAACGAGGAACATGACGCCGCCGACGCCGCCGACGCCGACGCCGACGCCGACGACGCCGACGCCGATGTCGATGCCAGGTCCACCGCCACTACTACGTGACGCCGACCTCGTACCTGGAACTCATTAACTCGTTCAAGGAGCGACGGCGGGCCACCCCTGGGGTCAGGTCGCCGCGGGAGCGCGGGTCTCGTTTCTCCCTGGTTCCTGCGCGCCTGGGGTCCATCCATATCCCTCCCTGTCTCACTTGGTCCATCCATCCAGGCCTTGGAAGAAATCAGCGAATACTCGTGCCACACTCATCTGTCAATGCCCCCCCCCCCAATGATCAATGTTGGCGGTGGGTTGAATGAGTTGCACTTCGACCGCTGTCTTCCCTGCGCGTGCCAATTTTCAGTTCAGGGGAGCGGGGGAGGGGAGGGGAAGGAGGAGGGGGTACGACGAAGAGAGTTGAGGGATGGATGTGGTGAGAGGAGAGATTTTGAACGTCTCTCCACACTTGCTCAGTTTCCACGGGTTTTCCGCACTTGTTCCATCCTCTCGTGTAAGCTCGTCACGTTGCGCCACCGTCTACATACCATCTCGTTGTCCCCACCCGTGGTTGCATATGTCCAGCAGTGTCTCAGGTAATCTTGCAAACGGTGTCTGGCCCTTCTTCGCCGGCCTTTGCCTTTGTCATCCTTCTCCGTATTGTATTCAACGCGTCGCTCGAGCTGTGGTCGGGTTACATTTGTCACGCGCATACATAGTGATCCGCTGGTTGCAATACCGGTTTCGAAGATCAGGGATGTCAAGAGGCGGGACACGTCCCCCATTTGATTGTCATTTCCCTTTGGGATCAGACCTCTTGCGCAACCCCCACCCTGGCTCAGTCTGCCAGTGTGGACAAAACAAAGGGGGACCAAGAGGAGGACGGTATGGAGATGGAGAGGAAGATGAGGAGGATGATGTGGAGGATGAGGTGAAGGATGACGAGGAGGAAGAGAAGAGGGTGGAGGATGGCGGAGGAAGAGGAGGAGGAGGGAGGAGGAGGAGGCGGAGGACGAGGAGGAGGAGGAGGAGGAGGCGAGAAGGACGACCGCGAGAAGGAAGACGAAGGCGGATGAGGCCGACGGCAGAGTGCCTGGCCGCAGGGCCTGCTCGAGTTCAAGCGCGAGGAAGTTTCCACGGCGCGCGCCGCTCTTGGGGCCGGACGGGGCGGCAGCGGCGGCGTCTCATTTCTAGAGGGTCAAGCGCACCTCCACCCTGCAGGGTTCATGTCGATCCGATCGATCCGATTCGACAAGAGGCATCGGCCAGCCGGGTCCGATTCGATCCACGTACGCCGGCGGTCCGATGCGGCCCGAAACCTACATGGCGCTGCCCTGCATCCTGGCGTGAGCCAAGGCAAGTCAAGTGTGCTCGAGAAGCGTAGGGATGCACCCCTTTCTAGATACTCCGCACTTAATCAAAGGATGACGTCTTCAAGTGCTGCCACGGGAGACGCTCCGGCTGCGAAGAACATTGGCAGGAGATCGCCTTGGGTCGGCCGATCACATTTCGATTCGGATTGCGTGCCGAGGCAGCCCGATCCGACGCTCGTGCTGATTCGATATGTTTATTCGACTTGACACTGAAAGATCTTGCCCGGCGACGTCCAGCGTCAAGCGTCGCGGACAAACATGATGTGAATTTCTTGCCTCACGATTTCGGTCGCGTGGAGGTCGGGCTCGCGTCTATCCCGGACAGTCAAGAGTGTCCCGTGTAAATTGTAGAATCCCAGTAATGATCCCCAGTGCAGGATGCCGAAATGCTCCTGAGAGAATCTTGGGAGGCTCCTTGATAGGGGTTTCAGAAGGGTCCTGGGAGTCTCCTGAGATGCTCCTGCTCCTGAGGTCCCAGGGAGGGTACGAGAGGGCCGTGATAGGGTCTGAGAGGCTCCTGAGAGAGTCCCGAGAATGCTGCTCAGAGGCTCCTGAGGGGCTCCTGCGAGGCCTAGAAGTTTGGCACAAGTGCTGGAAGATGTCGTATCGAAGAAGCATTGGCTTTGCATTGTCTGTTGTTGCAGTTTTTCCCAACCCTCCTGTGTTGGTATCTTGTTTTGAATAGAGCACTGTCTGCTCCGTCTTCCCTCCTCCCCCTCCCTCCACTCTCCTCTGCCTCCTCTTCATCTGATGCTGATGATGATGGTGATGGTGATGGTGATGCTGATGATGATGATGATGGTGATGGTGATGGTGACGATGCAGATGATGATGCTGCTGATGATGACGATGCTGATGACGCTGATGATGCTGATGTTGTTGCCAATGGTGTTCATAACGATGCTGAGGCGCATATTGAGGACGACATCGATGACGAAGACGGTGATGGTGACCATGTTGAGGATACGGAAGCTGACGATAGTGGTTACGGTAACGATGATGGTGACGATCATCATCATCATCATCATCATCATCATCATCATCATCAGCATCATCATGATTATGTTTCTGACTCATTATCCTCACTTTGGCGGCCGCCTCTTAGGGTTTTAGAGAGCCCCAAATTTGTCCGAGAGAGCCCCAAGAGGAGCCCCAAAGGCAACCAAGACGGTGCCAAGAGCCAAGAGCCTCTCAGAACGACCCAAGCGATCTCGAAGAGCGCAGCCTGACGGATTCCGAAGGCGTCAGGCGGGCCATAAGCGCTCAAAGACAGCTTGCGAAGCCCTCTCGAGGCCCCATGGAAGAGGCCTCCAAGATTCCGCCAAGAGGCTTCCAAGAGTGCAACAGGACGTGTAAATCATGTAACTCCCACTGGGAAACTACAGGTTCGGATGAACTCGCCCTTTTGCTCTCGATGGGCTGGCCTTTCTGGCCTCCAGATGCCCTCCAGACGGCCCAAGGGCCCCCCGAAGCGACAAAAGAGGTCCCCGAGAGAACCTTCAAACAAATTCCAGGAGCCCCTTCCCCCCCCCGCCCCCAAACGCTTCCAAGAGGCTCCCCGAGGCAGGCAGTCCACCGGATGTTCCGGGAGGCCTCTCTGGGCACATCGGGCCGACGACGACGTAAACGATGTTGATGTTCATTTTGGCGATGGTAAGGATGATGATGGGTAAGACGATGACAGGGATAATGTGCACGATTGGCGTAGCGGTGTTGATCATGATGGCATGATGATTGGTGATGACGATGATGAGGGTTAGGAGAAGGATTAGGATCATTTTGATGATTCGGATGACGATGATGAGGCTAAGGATGATACTGGTGCTGATGATTATGATGATGATGCTGATGAGGATGATGGCGACGATGCTGATGATGCTGATGATGCTGATTATGATGATGATGCTGATCGTGATGATGATGTTGATGATGATGACTACGATGATGCTGACGCTGCTGATGATAAGGATGCTGCTGCTGCTGATGATGATACTGGTCATGATGATGAGCATCATCGTGATGATACGCGAGCTTGACGTGTAGGCATGGCTAGCAGCATTGGGCCTGAGATGCTCTCCATGTTGTTGTTGTTGTTGTTGTTGTTGTTGTTGTGATTGTTGTTGTTGTTGTTGTTGTTGTTGTTGTTGTTGTTGTTGAACATTATTAATTCTAAAGAATAATTATTGTTGGGGCCCCTGGTGCGCGCCCCCCCCGCCGCGCCTAGGCCGCAGCCACATTTTCATCATTTTCGGGAGGAAGTCTCAGGCAAAACGTGGGTGTCCGGATCAGGTTGTTTTGTTGTCCCCTGTTTTCCCTTGCAAAAAATAAGCTAAAGTTGACATTTCTTGTTCTAGTATAACCAAACTTCAAGAATCCCTTGCAAAAAATAAGATAAAGTGGACATTCGCGCGCGCAAGACGAAATCCTTTCAAAACCTTAGTGTTCGTAGCGATTTCAACATAAAAACATCAAAAAACCAATGGTTTTTCAAAAAAAAATGTCCAAATTTCATCCCGCGCGCTTTTGCGGATTTGTCGGAAACCCAACACTTTTTCAACATTTCTGTCAAATGGGCTTTTGCGAGCAACTTTTTCACGTGCTTCGAACTTCTCCAACAACGGTTGCGCACCTGCCAGGGCCATCATCCCTGTCAAATAATACCATGCGGGACACATTCGTTTTTTCTTCGCGCGCGCACGCCGTCGTCGTCGGCCCATGGCCCTGTAGTAGCCACGGTCGTCCGCAGGCCACGAAGTGAAGTGTCCGAACGTCATAGGGCGGGAAGCTGGGTGTGGGTGGTGGCGAAGAGTCGTTTGGAAATTTGGTAGAGCTTGAACCGGCCCCCCCACAAAGTGGGGGTATTGCCCGCCTCCTATGAAAACCCTGGCACTGGTGAGAACGGAGTGTCCCCACGTGCTAGTAATTGTTGTTGTTGTTGTTGTTGTTGTTGTTGTTGTTGTTGTTGTTGTTGTTGTTGTTGTTGTTGTTGTTGTTGTTGTCGTCGTTGTTGTTGTGGTGGTGGTGGTGGTTATTGTTGTTGCTGCTGCTGTTGTTGTGATGAGTATGAGGATGAGGTCTGGGTGAGGATGGGGATGGGTATGACCATGAGTATGATGAGTATGAGTATGAGGGTGAGGGTGAGGATGGGTACGACTGTGTCACGCCTGGTGAGGGTGAGGATGAGGGTGAGGATGGGAACCGAGCTCTACAAGCGACCCCCCAGCCTGCGTCAGAATCCGAGCGCGCGCGCGAAGCGCGCGCGACGTTTCTCCAGTGGAGCTATGCAGATCCTCCGTTCCTCGTGCGCTCTTCGCCTGCCCGCGGGCTCCCCTCTGGCCCCTCGCCTGGTGGACGGGCAGCAGCGACCCCCCGCGGTGCGCGGAGGCGCCGCCCCGCGCGCGCGCGGGGGCGCGCGCGCGTCGCAGACCCGCAGGCGAAGTCCAGGTACGACGTCGGCCTCGACAAGATCATGAGCACGGAGAGCCAGGCCCCAGCGTCGAGTCGGGCCAGTCCCGTTGTACAGGAGGAGTGTCTCCAAACATGGTCAACAGCCAGTCTGGGGACGGTGTTTCGAGGTTTGTCGGGGAGTATCCATTCTCACTATTTGTTGCCACGTTTTTGAGCACATTTTTGACGTATATTTGTTTTTGTTTTGTTTTGTTTCCCCGCCTCCAGGAGGACACGCCCGACCGCGGCCCAGCGCAGGGGGCGGGGCAAGGCCGCCCGAGCCGGGCCGGGGGTAGCTGCACCGGAGCAGGGCCGGTCGAGGCGACGGCGGCGCCCCCGGGCGTTCGCCGCCCTCGCTCGTCGGGGAAGCGTAGGGCTCGAGTGCGGCAGGCGCGCGTCGAGTCGACCGGCGGCGAGCCCGCCAGCGGACGTTGAACGCCGCGGGCGACCCAGAATCGTTCGATGTGGAACGATTTGGACGTTTCGGAAGCGGCCGATCGTTCGAGGTTGAACGATCCCCGTGGTGTCAGGAACCAACGCTGGGGTCGACACGACGCGAACCAGCCGTAGGCCGGAGGTCGGGTCTGCCGACGTTGTTTGAACAGCGCGTCCTGGATTTTGACGGTCCAGTTTTCGTGGGATGTCTGCAGCTGGAGCCCGCGTCAAATTTCAGATTGGGTCTCGTGATTTTTATGATGGCCCCGTCAGGCCAACCCGAGTCGCCCATACCCGAGTTTTACGTTTCCCTGATTTTGGCCTACACTAGACCCCAGACTCGGCAGGTTTTCGAAGGTGTTCGGAGGTTTCGGGGCCTAGGATGGTTTTCATCAGGTGCGCCTCGTCACGGACGTTCTGGGGATGCCAGAATCGTCCCCAACGGCCACTTGAGGCCCGAGACATCGCAGGGAAGCAGTCGGAGGGCCCGACGAGACAGCTGCGCTGCTTGGCGTTCTCTCCTCCTTGCTGGGCCTCCTGGAGGCTTCTGGTTGCCACAGTTTGTCCCGCTTCGAGAAATGGGTCGGGGCGGGCCCCAGGACCGGTCAAACGGGACCTCGACGGTATATGTTGCACGGATTTGGGATGTAGGCCCGGCGGCAGAGCCGCCGTTGTCTGCGCAAGACCTGTTCCGAGATGGTGTCGGAGGATCGCGCCGCGTCGCGTCGCGATCGGGATCCCGGTGCTCTCCATCCCGACGTGTCCGACGCATCGGCAACGCATCGAGGATGCAGCCCCAACTGCTCGGATCCCATTCGGGCAGCCTCTAGGGGGGGGCGCGGGAGGAGAGGAGTGGTCGGGCGGTCTGGGCCGGAGAGGCGTCCGCCGCGCCCGTTGCGCTCAGGTCGCCGGCATGCAGGCGGAGCTGGAGGAGCTGCAGCCCGTGCTGAAGAAGACCGCCGTGGACCAGCCCCGTGCGCTTGGCCTCGTCGCCCACGTTTCGGGGAAACGTAAGGCTCGAGCTGGCCAGAACTTGGTCTTGCCGACGCTCCTTGACGGGCCTGTCCTGGATTCCGGCGGTCCAGATTTCGTGGCATGTCTGCAGCGGGAGCTCGCGTCAAATTTCAGACTGGGTCTCGTCATTTCCCTGACGGCCCCGTAGGGCCAACCCGAGTCCTCCGAGCCCGAGTCTTACGTCTCCCCGATCGTTACCGGCCTGGAGCATTCGGATAGCAGCTTGACATGGCAGCAGAGGTGCAGAGGCCGGTCGAGGAGCAGGAGGTCCAGCGTGCGCTTTGCAGGGTAGCTCCCGTGCACGGACTTCTAGGCAGCGCACGAGGGATGCGGTTGGGACAGGGGTGAGAGCACGGCCATGCGCACCTTGGTGCTGTGGAGGACGATCAGTGGAGAGGAAGCATGCACTTCCAGATGTCTAGAGCATGTGTTACACATGTTCTAGACATGTAAAGCGCATGTTTAAAACATACTTAGAACTTGTTTCCGACATTTTAAACACATGTTAAATTCAATGATCGGACTGTTGGGGTGTCCATTGTCGTGGCATCCACAACCTTAGTGCACTGTGTGTTGCAAGGTCCCCGTGGCCCGCCTGGACCAAAAGTGTAGCCGGCATGGAGGTGAGGGCACGTCCCCCGACTGAGTCGTGAGGAAGCCTTGGGGCGAAACGGCTGCCGGCCCGCTGCCGCGCGCCAGGGTGCCCCTCGGCGATCCAAGAGCTCTGGTCGGACCTCCGGAGGCCTGGTGTACATGCAGCTTTTTGGTTCCCCTGTTATTCGCCGAGCGCGCTCCACTACTCGCAAAGTGCCTACACCTTAGGCGATGCTTAAGAAAACCTAAGTTTTCGGCCAGAGTCTTGATTATTCTTAACTTTTCAATGTAAATCCCAAGATTTTGATAGAAGTTCTGGGTTTTTATTCCAGTTCTGAGACTCTGAATTTCTTAACCCATGATTTCTTAAGCACTTCGCAGGGTGTACTCGCAGACGCCCGAAAAACACATGTGTGCTTTGACATAGTTCATCGTAGATTCTCCGCGAGGGGTCCGGGCCATTTGCGAGTAGTGACTTTGCGAGTAGCAGAACGCGCTTGCCTAGTCATGCGGAGGCAAGGCCACCGGCTCGATGTATTCGTACACATTGTCGTCGCGCTGCCTTGTGGATTTGGCAAGGGCCACCCGGCGGACGACGGTCAGCAGAAGTATTGGGAGGAGGAGGAGGAGGAGGAGGAGGAGGAGGAGGTCAGAGGAGCGCAGGCAGCGATACTCTGGGCCGAGGCAGGGATGCACTGCAGGGGCAAGCCGCGCAATAAGAGGGAAGGGAAGCCAGACTCTTCGAGACGAAGTCCTTGATCTCGATCGAGCAAGCACCAGGGGTATCCGCAGGCAGCGCGGACTGGACCAGATCGGCCCCGCGCCCAAGGCTCCAACGGAGCGCCCAGCGCAAGAGTGATTTGAGGTCATCGAGGGCGCGAAGGAGGGCAATGCAGCATTGAGAGCTCGGGCTCGGGCTAGAGGGCGCAGTGCCACGCTTGACAGGCAAACAGAAGGTTGCCATCGGTGGTCATCCTGCCCGACTGCTCACTCTTGTGGAAGCTGGTGCAGTGAGCGTTGATGCTGCTCTCCGCACGGCGTCCAGTTCTTCAACGGTGCCGCCCATTCGGCGTGCCATGAAGGGGGGGAAGAGACGGGGGGGGGGTGGCGGTCGGTTGTAGCCGAGTCGGGACGGGTGGGGAAGCCTAGACACTCTTGTCGCGTATTTTTTTGCCAGCCTCTCCTGGGCGAGTCCAAGTCGGCCCCAGAGGCCCTCTCGTGTTTTTTGTATGTTTATTTTGTTGTTTTTCTATGTTGTTTGTTTTTTTTCCTTTTCGTTTTGTTGGAAAAAAGAGGCCACCTAGCTGCTCTGAGCGCCGCAGAGAGCCAGCGCTGGCATCCTCGGCCCGCGCCTCCCGCGGCCGGCGCGCTCCTCCGGCAGGCCTCTCGCGGCACGGCGCACGCGCTCTTTTGCTGCCGCGCCCAGGCAGGCGCGCAGCCTACACGCACACTCGCCGAGAGGCACCGAGGCGGGAGCGGTGTGGACACCGCTCCAAGAGGCAGCTGATTTGCGTCGAGCTGTCGTCGTCTGGTGACGGCATCGTCGTAGACGGAGCAGAGGGGATTGGGGAATTGGGGGGAGGCGAGGGGAGGGGTGAATCGTGAGCAGGAGGGATCCCCAGGAGTGGAGGGGCCTCCTCGATCTCCTCCCCCCTGTGCCTCCGCCGTGCCTCCGCCCCCCCCTTGCTCCTCCTCGTCCTCCCTCCCTGTTCCCTTGTTCCCTTGTTCATGGCGTCTTCCTGTCGCTGCCCCAGACGTGACGGCAGGGCTGTCCAGGCGTTTCGCTGGAGATTTCTCCGCAGTGTATGATCTTGCGGCTTGAACTTCTGCAGCCGTCGCAAGGACAGACGGGCCTCGGTTTCCACATCGTGCTTTTGCCGCATCCCTGGGCCCAGTCGTCATATACAGTTTATAGTTTGCAGCAGACGGCAGGAGGGACGGTTGGTTCCAATTAGGAGCTCTCGCGTTGCCCCCCTCTCCCCCCGCGCACTCGACAGCAAGTTGCAACAGAAACTGTGATGGATGGGGGGTGGGGGTGCGCAACACGGAGTCCCCGCCCGGGCTCTGCGCACATGCGCTCAAAACATCTTGCAACAGTTGTGGGCATGGCGGGGCGGTGGTTCTCAGAAATCAGGAGGGAAAAAATCACACAGACACAACGAATCGGCGATTTCCAGGAAGATATGCGAAACTATGGGAAATGAGGGGGGGGGGAGACGAAACTCCCCAAAATGTTGAAACATCTGGGGGATCCTGGGGTTTTGGTGTACTTCTCTGTGTGGCCCTGGGCCCCTTCAAGACTGGAGCTCTCGCCCGCGCGCCGCGCACGCCTGTTTTTTTCGAGCTCGGAGCCGCTCCGCCGACGGGCGTGCGGCTCCTCTCCGCAGCCGCGAGTCTCGCCCGAGCGCCGCGCACGCACACTCGTCCTGGCGAGCGCGCGCAGCGGCTGCGCGGAGGGACTCTTGTTACCTAACAGCTTTTGCTGATAGGTTTCTAGTGGGGTCAAAAGCAAGGGCTCCCACGAGGGCGCGAAGTTATTCGCGCTTCGCGCTTCGCGGAGCGCGAAGCGCGAAGTTGGGAGCCCTAGAAAAGAGAGCAGCAGATGACTCCACAGGGGGGTCGGGGCGGCATCCGGGGAGCTGTGTCCGAACTCGTGTCCGAGCTCGTTTTTCGCAAACAGTCACAAACTTCGTGTTGACCTTCGCTCCGCGGGGTGGCCCTGAGGACGGCGGGCCGAATGAGCCGGCAGCCGACCTTCGGGCCGTGCCCAGGGAGGGTGCCGATGCAGATGCGGATGCGGAGGACGGGTCCGCTTCCAGGTGGGGTTCTCGCTCCAGACAGCTTCGGATTGTCCGGAGGGGAGCACCCAGACAGAATGAATCGTCGATTCCCCAAGGACACATACGGGGAAAGATGGGAAGTTGGGGGGAAGACGAACACCCGGAAGATATGGGAAAATCTGGGGAATCCTGGGAATTGTGTATATTTATTCGTGTGTGTTCCTGGGCCCCCTTGACCTTTCGAGGCCCTTCGGCACAGCCTTTTAGCCTGAAGTCGGGCCTGTCCCGTTTTGTTGTTGTTGTTGTCGTCGTCGTCGTCGTCGTCGTCGTTGCTGTTGTTGTTGTTGTTGTTGTTGTTGTTGAATTCTCACTTCTGAAGAATAATTATTGTTGATCCCCCTCACCGGTGCAGACAGTTTTTTCTCAATCAAAGTGTGCCCCTCGACGCTCGCACCCTGTTTTTTGACAGGGAAAGTCTTCATGCTCAAACTGGCCCCCTGGCCCCCGGGTTACAACAACAACGGCTCCCGCTTGAGACTTCCTTACAATTTAGGCAGGACCCCCGCTCCCGCCCGAGACTTCCTCGCATTTTATTCAGGAATCGCGCTCTCGCTTGTGACTTCCTTACAATCTATTCAGGAATCGCTCTCCCGGAGCTCTGGAGTCGCGCTTTCGCTGGAGACTTGCTTGCAACCTACTGAAGAATAGCCTTGCGTTGGAATTTCTTGCAATTTGCCCAAGCGCCGCGCTCCCGACACCCAGGCACCCAGGAATCGCGCCCGTTGTGGCCCCATGTGCATGCCCTTCGTGGCCCCGCTGTCGCCATTTGTGTCCCCCGCATTGTCCTACGTGGCCCAGTTGCTACCCTCAGTGGCCCTATAGTTGCCTTCTGTGGCCCTGCATTATCTGCACTTCGTGGCCCCCGCTCGTTCGCACTCTTCGTGGCCCCATACTCATTCCCTTCGTGTCCCCGCTGTCGCCCTTCGTGGCCTACTTCGTGCCCTTCGTGCCCCTTGCTGTCGTTCTCTCTCGCTCTCGCTTTCGCTCGTCGTCGCCGTCGTCGCCGTCTTCTTCGACGTCGTCGTCGTCGTCGTCGTCGTGGTCGGTTCCCTGTCCGTCCCTCTTGGGGTCGGGTCGACGGTCCGCGGCCGCCCCGCCGATCAGCGCTGCCGCTGGCCAGGCCGACGGTCCGCGGCCGCCCCGCCGCTTGCCGGGCCCGGCTGCAGGGAAGAGAGGTATACCCCCCAAAAGGGGGGTTCGATCGAAGACGAAGAGGGCGGGTTTCGAGGGTTAGGGGAATACGCGTTATTGGACACTCGAGCATAGAAGGGCGAACAGTCTTAAACTGATTGATGTTGTTGTTGTTGTCGTTGTCGTTGTTGCTGTTGCTGCTGCTGCTGCTGTTGTTGTTGTTGCTGATGCTGTTGTTGTTGTTGTTGTTGTGGTTGTGGTTGTGGTTGTGGTTGTTGTTGTTGTTGTTGTTGTTGTTGTTGTTGTTGAACATAATTACTTCTAAAGAATAATTATTGTTGGGGCCCCTGGTGCACGACCCCCCCGCCGCGCCTAGGCCGCAGCCACGTTTTCATCATTTTCGCGAGGAAGTCTCAGGCAAAACGGGTTGGTCCGGATCCGGTTGTGTTGTTACGATCGGTTTTCCCTTGCAAAAAATAAGGTAAAGTGGTCATTTCTTGTTCTAACATATCCAAACTTCAAGAATCCCTTGCAAAAAATAAGGTAAAGTGGACATTCGCGCGCGCAAGACGAAATTCTTCCAAAACCTTAGTTTTCGTAGCGATTTTAACATAAAAACATCAAACAACCAATGGGTTTTCAAAAAAAAAATCCAAAATCTCATCCCGCGCGCTCTTGCGGATTCGTAGGAAACCCAACACTTTTTAAACATTTCTGTCAAACGGGCTTTTGCGAGCAACTTTTTCGAACTTCTGCAACAACGGTTGCGCACCTGCCAGGGCCATCATCCCTGTCAAATAATACCATGCGGGACACATTCGTTTTTTCTTCGCGCGCGCACGCCGTCGTCGTCGGCCGCGGGGCCCTGAATAGTAGCCACGGTCGTCCGCATGCCACGAAGTGAAGTGTCCGAACGTCATAGGGCGGGAAGCTGGGTGTGGGTGGTGGCGAAGAGTCGTTTGGAAATTTGGTAGAGCTTGAACCGGCCCCCCCACAAAGTGGGGGTATTGCCCGCCTCCTATGAAAACCCTGGCACTGGTGAGAACGGAGTGTCCCCACGTGCTAGTAATTGTTGTTGTTGTTGTTGTTGTTGTTGTTGTTGTTGTTGTTGTTGTTGTGTTTGTTGTTGTTGTTGTTGTTGTTGTTGTTGTTGTTGTTGTTGTTGTTGTTGTTGTTGTTGTTGTTGAACATTATTAATTCTAAAGAATAATTATTGTTGGGCCCCTGGTGCACGGCCCCCCTGCGCCGCCTAGGCCGCAGCTACATTTTCATCATTTTCGTGAGGAAGCCTCAGGTAATTCGATGTGATCAAGATCCGGTTGTTTTGTTCCCCCCCGCTTTCCCTTGCAAAAAACACTATAAAATGACATTTCTTGTTCTAATATAATCAAATTTCAAGAATCCCTTGCAAAAAATAAGGTAAAGTGGACATTCGCGCGCGCAAGACGAAATCCTTCCAAAAGCTTAGTGTTCGGAGCGATTTTAACATAAAAACATCAAAAAACCAATGGTTTTTCAACAAAAAAATGTCAAAATCTCATCCCGCGCGCTCTTGCGGATTCGTAGGAAAACCAACACTTTTTAAACATTTCTGTCAAACGGGCTTTTGCGAGCAACTTTTTCGAACTTCTGCGACAACGGTTGCGCACCTGCCAGGGCCATCATCCCTGTCAAATAATACCATGCGGGACACATTCGTGCGCAAAATCCCATCATCCCAGGAACTTGACCCAAAAATGTGACCAACTCCGCTCTCTCTGTCTCTCTCTCTGTCTGCTCTCTGTCTCTCTCTCTGTCTCTCTGTATTATGTATTGTATGGCACAATTGCACCATGCTGGGCACATGCGCGCCCCGAATAAGTGACCAAGTTCTGTGGGTGTGTACCCCACGCCAGTGTAGTAGCCACGGTCGTCCGCACGCCACGAAGTGAAGTGTCCCAACGTCATAGGGCGGGAAGCTGGGTTTGGGTGGTCGCGAAGAGTCGTTTGGATATTTGGTAGAGCTTGTAATGCCCCCCCACGAAGTGGGGGTATTGCCTGGTGTCGTATGAAAACCCTGGCACTGGGGAGAACACCACGCGTTCGGGTAAAATGATTGTTGTTGTTGTTGTTGTTGTTGTTGTTGTTGTTGTTGTTGTTGTTGTTGTTGTTGTTTGTTTAATTCGCCAGGCGAGGGACCCAACCATATGCAGTTGGGGGGGACGCATGCGAGAGCAGCCACTGGCGTCGTCGGTGGAGCTCCCTATGAGGCCACAAAGCGCTGTCCTGGGCGGGGGAGACGCATGCGAGAACAGCCACTGGCGCCTTCGGTGGGGTTCCTTATGAGGCCACGAAGCGCTGTCCTGGATGGGGGAGACGCATGCGAGAGCAGCCACTGGCGCCGTCGGTGGAGCTCCCTATGGGGCCACGAAACGCTGTCTTGGGTGGGGGAGACGCATGCGAGAGCAGCCATTTGGGCCTACGGTGGAGCCCCCTATGGGGCCACGAACGCGTGAGGGGTGTGCCGATGGAGGGAGGAGGGGGAGGGAGGAGGGGGAGGAGGAGGAGGAGGAGGAGGAGGAGGAGGAGGAGGAGGAGGAGGAGGAGGAGGAGGAGGAGGAACGCGGGGCACCGTCTCTTGAAAACGAGGGCCCAACACCACAGGATGGTGGGGAAAAACGAGCAAACGAGTAATTTTGACCATTTGGGGGTATCTTGTGACCGTTTTTCATATTTGTTTTTGTTTCTTTTTTTTCTCCGAAAATCGGCCTGTCGGGGGACGGGCCCGACCCAATTTTGGCCGCGGGGGGCCCTCCCTCGCCCGACCAGGCAGGCCCGCGGGTCGCGCTGGTGTGTTCTCTTCCCAGCCGGGCGCTGCCCTCGCAGTGCGAGAGACTCACACGGAGGCCTCTTTGGGGGGGGTGGGCCTCCCCCCGGAGGGGGCCCGCAGACGGGCGGGGCTCGCGGCAGTCCCTCGGAGGAGGAAGGGGTACCCATACCTCTGCCCTCCCCCCGTTTTTCTCTTTCAGGGCCTCCTGGGCCTCCGTCGTCGTCACCGCTGGAGTTGCCCCGAAAGCCCGGTCAGAACGCACCCCAGGAGAGGTGAGGTCCGGGGAGTAGCGGTATTGGTACCTTTTGGTCTCCCCAGTCTCGCTTGTGCATCTTGCGTTCGCCCTGGCCCTCCTTCCCTCGGTATCCTTCATCCGACCCCCATCCCCATCCCCCATCCCCCATCCCCTTCGAGACCCCCACCAAATTCCCCCCCGGTTGGGGATGCACCCCTCGAAGCCCGAAGGGGACGGTCTCTATCCCCATCCAGGGGGGTAAATCGGCCAATGGGCCCCCATCGGATAAACGATACTCACTGCAGACTCGTTTGTGCATACTGAGTTCACCCTGGCCCTCCTTTCCCTCCCCTTCTCT